CCGACGAAAATGCCTTTGAATGCTTTATGCTAACACATGAAAAGTGTGAATGACAGCAATTAAACAACACGCAAGCTCTCTCGCCCAGCAGTTGCAGCTGTCAAACGCTTGCGGACACACGTGCTAAAGTATTGAATTTTGCCAACCCTCAGATGCCAAATGCTCAGAGCTTGACCATGTTCAGAGCCTTAGAGGTGACAACATTGCTTTGCATATCAAAGGTGAGTAAAAGGTGAACTGATGACTTGAGCACATGCTGATGACTGGCACCGACCACATCCGCCTGAATGGCACTTACACTGGTGTTTGCAATGGTGATGGATTTGTCCATTCATCCAATGAAATGACTTACCACATTTCGACGACGTTACGGAAACATGAGGAAGGTGTGGGAGAGAGGATGTCGCACACACCTGTGAACTCAGCAGTTGCATGAAATCGGACTCCCTGATCACTTATGGCAAAAAGTTTTTCACTTCACTCTTATTCCTTATTTAACGCTTAGAAGCTTATCAGCGAAGTAAAACAACCGGACAAGTGCATGCATTTGACCAACGAAGCGAGTGGATTGCACTGGCTGAATGCACCATTTTATCTAACGGTATCAGACATTAGAAACCAGGCGACAAAAATCCTAAATGGCAGAGGCCCTGAGAAGACCTCCACCTGAAGCTGAATTGCCAGAGAAAATTAAATACCCAAGAGTAATGAGATTGCCATCATTTTGCCATTGTTTGCCTTTCAATCACCTGCCTACTGCCTCACCTTTGCTCTTACTCTCGATTTATCTGGCACTCTCCTGCCATCGGCCCTTAAGAGGATCTGCACATTATCCGGTGAAAGGTGAATTGTAGTCCTTGTTCAGTTGCACTAAAAAGAATCGCCGCGAGTCATTTGAACAATTAGTTTCCCACTAATGTGCCATTCCCGCCTCTCCTGCCTACACTGAAGCCTCATCTGGGTGATGCATTGCTAGTTGAATTAGACTGTCGGACTTAATGTGATTGAATTCCGTCTGCTTTACCAACAGAGTTGACCTACTTGTGGCCTGCCCTACACAACAATCTTATCAAAGCATTGCCATAGCTAGAAAAAGCGTAACGGCAGTGGGGTATTTTACTAAATATAATAGCGTTTAGCATTTCGTCTCTAGGTGTTGATAGTTGTCAGGTGCTTCATATCTAACAGTAAAGACTATCCTTTTACTGTTCCAATTAAAAATTAAGTGTTGCCAGGGTTCCACTCATCAACAACGCAAAACGACTTCTTCTCCTCACCCGCTTTTCTCTTTCCTTCTAACTAAATTACGTACTGGCCTGTGAGTGATTTCAGCGTTATCTTGTCTCAGTGACAATTATTTTGACCCCTATAATTTTGACGGTTATTTGTAGGATGTCTCCCCCTCGCCAGGGCACCTCTCACACAATGTAAATCATGTCGTAATTTAGCCTGCTTAAGTGTTTTTTTGCAAATAAGCCTTATGTCTCCCTACACGCTTGTCAATCTCTCAGTATGTTTATCTGTCAGTCAATTGCATCCTGTCTGTGCATGCATCGCAGTTGATGCAGATGTTAACAAATCGTTACCTTGCCACTCATGACACTTCCGGTCTCCAGTTGATGTCATCCGCAATTAGCACGACCATCTAGGCAATGCGTTCCGCCACTTCCGTCTCTCTAAATGCAGCAGCTCAAGTGCCTCACAAAATGCAGCTAAAACGGATTTTAATAGGGCCATGCACAAATCGCCTCTGATTTGACGTAAATGCTGCGGAATATGAGCCGAAAATGATGTCAAAATTGGTCAAAGCGCACCCCAATGCATATTTGTGCTCTTCTGATTCCATAAAAGGCGAAAGTGTTATAAATGCTGACATCTTACTACGAAAGAGGAGATGGTGAGGCTATGCAAAATAACAAATATTCCATTTTCTCTAAAAGGACCTTTTTCTCAAGAATGTACTTGAATTTACGAAAGATATGAGCTTACCAAATGGCAGGCACTTTCAGCACATAGAATCTGCTCAGGCTGAGTCTTTACTGCTAGGATATAAAAGGCAAACTACCTATTTGTTCTGGCTGCCACCGTTGCATTACCTTCAAAAATTAAGGTGGAAACATGACTAATTAAAACTGGAAGGCTGAATTGCTAGCCACATCTAAAACGAATTGATGTACCTATTCGCTGTTTAGCCCTATCACTCATTATGTAGGTTTAATTAGCTCTATACTTAAAAAAATATTAATTAACCACTTAAAAACAAATTAAGATAATCTCTTCCGGTTATGAATACAAAATGAGTCCAAACAGATGTAATACCTATAAAAGTTAATCGAAATTGAAAAAGGTTGGTGCAGCAGCATGTTCTAAATTTAACAGTACTCTGATGAAAATAGCAGAAAATAGGGGCTGAACTATTTGCCTTTATTTCCTGTAATGCAAGCATAAAACAGAGCAAGCGATATCCATTTTCCTCCCTC